TCGATGCTGGCAAAAGCGAGACAGGAACAAAAACACAAGAGCTTTGACTAGAAGTTCGGAAAATTAAAACCGGAATCAAAAGCAAACGAACACGTGGTACACAATCTATCGTCTAGGCAGTCGACTGAACAAGAACTATGTATGATGAGCCATTAAACCAACTTTTAATGCGGCAGATGCCCGGCCAGCCGAATTTAACTGGAAGCCATGCTAGTAACAACCAATGCAATCAATGAGGCGAAGCACACCGTGCGCTAGGAAGATACCTTCCTATTAAGGACGAATAAGCCCACAAATAACGTGTCACCCACGCAAGAAGAGGCAATGAAGAGAGATATAAAGGCGCTACCGGCCGACAAGGGAAAACCAATAGTCGTGATAGACCGCAGCGGTTACAACGCGAAAGTGCAGGCCTTCCTTGATGATCAACAATCCTACAAAACGACACCTTCCTTGCAGGCTAAATCTGTGATCAACCAGTTTACCAGATTCCTAAGCCGAATTCGGCGTACCATTGAAATAGCGCAAAACGAATTGCGATAAACTAAATCAACCAACAGGGCACTGGTCCCGTTTTATGGATTGTACAAAATCTACAACCACAACGTTCCTCTCTGGCCTCTCGTGGCGTTGAAAGGACCCCTACTTACAATCTATTCAAATGCATGTCACGAAACCTAAACTGTCACCGAGAGGGCTCGCGGACCTTAATCAATTCGACCTCCAAATTTCTTGACGCTATCCGGGGAAGAACGGTTCAGTGAGATCAAACCATAGTATCTTTTGATGTCGTTTCCTTATTCACATCTACCCCACCGGACCTGGCACGCGACGCCCTGCACAAACGACTCGAAGAGAAATATGACGAATCGAGGGTTCCTTAGAAACTGAACATCTTATGCAACTATTTGTCTTCTGCCAAAGAATTTTTTTACCTATCAATAATGTCCTTTGGCGTAGTTTTTTGCTGTGTCTGGTAGCTTGCGATGGCATCAGTCTTATAATGATTGCCGTGCTGCTATTTTTGCGGCTCATGCTACTACGACTATTACTTATAAAAACTCCTGAATAGCAATGTAGCTGAATGTTTTTCATACTGACTATTCCGAGATATTACATGTTTTGAGGCCCGGAGCATATCAAGATTTGCCTCGGTTTCCGCCCTCGCAGCTCTGTACATCAGGCTGTGTCATTTCGTGGGTAAGTGCAGCACTAC